ACAAGCACATTAATTGGTGCTTGGAGAACTTGGAACACGAAAGTCCCAATTATAAGTTGGTGATCTCAACGTTTCCAGTGTACCAAGGTTCTCACCTCTCTGCCTCCTCTGCATCTCCATCCTGGACCATCTGGGCTCCCTCCCCATCCTCCTCTGCACCTCCCTGCAAACTCATCATTGCTCCGGCTCCTCTGCCCCATTCACAGCCTGAGGATGCGGTGCTCCAAAAGCAGGCAAGATGAAGGTTTCAAACATCTTTTCTCTTATCCCATCAAGTACACCTGCTTTCCCAATCTTCCACATGTCAGTTCTTCAAGACCACCCCAGGGGGGAAGAGTCCTCTCGAGCTGACCTGAGGGAGAGTCATGGCACAGACCTCAGACCCTTGTGGACAGCCGCCCACTTTTTCTGGGCAGGTTCTCCTTCCTCTGTGCTGAGGCCTGTTCCACTCAGACTACCAAGCCCAAAGGCAGGCTCTGTGAGCCAGATAACAGTCAGCAATTAATAACAGAGATGCAACAATAATAAACACAAGTAAATACAGTATTAATAGGAGCCTAAGGGCCAACGTTTGCCAAACCACTCCAAGCCTCAAAAATCCTTTGTAATTTACTCTTCACTGATTACGGAATGAGTTTAGGCTTGATGGTTGCTAAGATCCTTGCCAACTCTATGCTTCTGAGTTTATAAGGGAAAATAAATGAGCTTGTGAATAAGAAAAAGGGAAGCAAACCCCCAGAACTAGCAGGAAGCAGGTGAAAGCATCCTGGCATAGGCAAGAAGCCTCCCTCCCTCCTTTCCTCCCCCCAAGACAGGGTTTCTCTGTGTAGCCCTGGCTGTCCTGGAACTCACTCTGTAGACCAGGCTGGCCTTGAACTCACGGATCTGGAGATCCGTGTCTCTCTGCCTCCCAAGTGCTGGGATTAAAGGTGTGAGCCACCACAGCCTGGCCAGGCAAGACTTCACCCTTCCAGTGAGGTCTGAAGAGTCTCTAGAGAGTCTACTTAAAAAACAAAAATTCTGCCAGGCAGTGGTGGCGAATGCCTTTAATCCCAGCAGTCAGGAGACAAAGGCAAGAGGATCTCTATGAGTTTGAGGCCAGCCTGTTCTACAAAGAGAACTCCTGGACAGCCAAGGCTACACAGCTACACAGAGAAACCCTACCTTGCAAAACTAAAAAAACAAAAACAACAGCAAAAAACTCCTGTGTATTTATAGACTCACCTAAAAACAAACAAACAAACATCCTGTGTATTTATAGTGTGTGTGGATTACATGGAGGCCAGAGGCTTTCTGATACTGGTCTTCACCTTACTGTTTTTCAGACAAGGTTTCTCACTGGAATCTGGAGCGTGCCTATCTGGCTAAACTGGCTGGTGAGCAAGTCTCTAGGGCCCGCCTGTGCATGTGTGTTACCGGCAGAGGAACATTGTGGCACAGGAACATTGTGGCACCTGGCTTTTTACATTTGTCCCAGGGATCTGAACTCAGGTTCTCAGACACGTGTGCCAATCATTTTACCCACTGAACCATGTCCCCTGCCCCTATCCTCACTTCTAACGGCTCAAATGAAGGGATTATACACCTCAAACCAAGCGCCCCACATCCCAGGGTTTAGGGAACATCTGGCCTGGGGCAGATCTGCCTTGGTGCAGGCTTTGAAAGAACATAAAGTGGATTTCCAGAATACTTTGGGGGATGCGTGGAGCTAGGATGAAGAAAGGAAGGGGATGATTGTAAAAGTTTGAGAGGAAACCTGAAAAACGAAGCGCAGGAGACAAGGAAGGTCTCAGGTCCCGACCCCCCCCCACCCCCAACAGCTCGGGAAGCGCCTTCCCCCACTCCTGACTCCGGGGTTCCCTGTCCTCCCGGTGTACAAAACCTTCCTCCTTCCTAATCTCTCTTGGGCTCTATGTTTCCCCAAAGTGACCGCTTGATCCTCCGAGCCTCCTCTCTCCATACAGATAACATATGTATTCCAAAATCCTTTTTGTTTGTTTGTCAGTAAATATTTGCAACCAAGTTCCTGTCCTCAAGAAGCAAAAACCATTCACACATTAGGTTGTAGTGAAGGCAAATGGGGAATATTTCAGGTTCCTTTTCTGAATCATATGGACCTTTTCAGTTCCGCAAACTCGCCCTTTGGCTTCTCGGCCTGCAGGGCCTCTTCATTTGCCTCTGTTTCTGTGGTTTACGCGGAAAGGGTTTTCTGCACTTTCCTTTTCCTGACCAACTCTTAATTTCGCAGCAGGCTTCCTACGTGAAGCCTTCCCTCCACCCCCACCTCCAGGCTAGACTAGCAGCTACGCCTCGGTTTAGCTTATCCGAGAGTGCCAGCTCCAAGCAGTGCCAAGCACGCAGCAGGGTCAGCGAGACCCCCGAGCAAGACCCGGCCCCACAGGCCCCGCCCCATCCCGCCCCTCGGCCTGGCTACGCCCGCGGCCCCGCCCCCTCACCTTCGCATTTGCTGGGCAATCGTACCCAGTCGGTCTCCTCCGCCCGGGCGCGGCTCGGGCCCAGCTTCGGGGCAGGCAGGAGTAGTAAGGACAGCAGCAGCAAGGGAAGCAGGAGGCAGCGGGGCGCGAGCTCAGACATGGACTCCATGGTCCAGCCGGACCCAGAGCGGAGCGGACCCGGCAGCGTTTCCTCCAGCAGCGCTCGCAGAGCAGCTTCCCCCGGCCGCTTCCGGGACTGCACACGTGCCTCCGTGTAACCACGGCAACAGCGAGCCCGGCCCGCCCCCTCTCTCGCGACCGAGGCCCGCGGGCGACGCAGCCAGTGGGTTCGTTGGCGTTTGCTTTTTAGCGAATAGGAAAAACGATCTTTTTTTTTCCACCTCGGCCAATCAGAGCGTAGATGGTGGCCGTGGCGCCCTATAGGGATCTCCCCGCTTTCTAACGGAGGCTTGGAGAGGCTGGAGCATCCGATCCTCCAGAGTAGATGGACCGGGTTTGGCCTCTCTAGTTCTGTATAACAAGGAGCGGAATATCTTTCATAGTTTTGGGGTTTTTCTTTTTTTTGGGGGAGGGGGGTGTTGTTTGTTTTGCGAGACAGGGTTTCTCTGTTGTATAGCCCTGGCTGCCCTGGAACTTCACTCTGTAGACCAGGCTGGCCTCAAATTCATAGCTCGGCCTGCCTTTGGCATGCGCCTCCACATTGGGCTTCATGCTTTTCTCCTTGAAGGTATAAAAAGTATTTTTTAATCTATTTTGCGTTAGGGAACAACTAAAATCAGTTGCTTTCTTCCATCATGTTGGGCCTGGGCATCAAACTCTTGCCCTTAGACTCGATGGGTACCTCTTTACCTGTCAACCCTCTTTCTTCATGGTTTTCTTTGCAAACCTTCACTAAACACCTGCTTTTAAATGTTATTATTGCAGTCACTCACTCTAACGTGTGACTTAGGGACTCATAACAGCCCTGATGCACACTAACCTTACATTTGTCCTTATGCAAGCTAGAATTAGTGACTTCTCTGACCGGGATCTATTTGTTTGATGACAGAGTGATCCTCCTGTTATCTTCCTCCTCCAGATGGTTCAGTGGTTAACGTTCTCACCACACAATCATGAATCCTCAGAGCCCATGTAAATGTCGCATGAGAATGTGATCTCACTGGTAGTTCCAGTGTCCTGTGAAGACAGGATCCCCAGAGCTCGCTGACAAGACAGACTAGTCTTTATCTGTAAGCTCTAGATTTAGTTAAGAATTCAGAGTTCACCTGAGAGACCCTGTCTCATTATTGTAGTAGACATGGATTAAGAAAGATTTAGGGCTGGGCAGGTAGCAGGATATGCCTTTAATCCAAGCACTCAGGGCTGGAGAGCTCTTGAGTTTGATTCCCAGCAACCACATAGTGGCTCACAACCATCTATAATGTTGTGCTCTTTTCTGCTGTGCAGGCACACATGCAGCCAGAATACTGTATACACGGTCAATACAATTTTTTTTTTTTAAATCCCAGCACGCATGAGGCAGAGGCAAGAGTATCTCTCTCTGTGAGTTTGAGGTCGGCCTGGGCTATGTAGTAAGGTTGTGTTTGTTTGTTTTTTTAACGTGTATAGTTGTTTTGCTGCATGTGTGTCTGTGTGAAGATGCCAGATCCCTTGGAACCGGAGTTACAGACAGCTGTGAACTGCCATGTGGGTGCTGGGAATTGAACCTGAGGTCCTCTGGAAGAATAACCAGTGTTCTTAACCTCTGAGACATCTCTCCAGCACCCATCTTGAAGAAGCAGAAGTGAAAGAAGAAGGCAAAAGAAGAGAAGGGAAGGAGAGGAGGAGAAAGAATGGAGGGAGGAGAGGAGGTAAAAAACAAAGGGAAAGAAAGAAAGACTCAAGGAATGGAGAGATGGTCTCTCAGAAGCCTGTGCTGGGTACCCAACAGCCACATTAAGTGTCTCACAGCCATCTCTAACATTTCTACCTCTGGTGTCCGGGGGCATGGGCATGTACACACACACACACACACACAAAGTATATATGACTGGAAATAAATCCTTCTCCACTGTGGGAACCTCATTCTCTGACTGTGCAGGGACTCTCTTTAGGGAACAAGGAAAAAATCAACAAACTCAAATTTTTTTACTACCTGGCTCCCAGCTGATGCTGAGTTAATATTTTTCGATTGAATAATGACCTTTAATTAATAGCGTGTCGGTTTGCATTTACCATCTTATGCTGCTAGCCCTGGATGTGATCCTGATGCCCGGGAATTCTGGCTCTGCACTCTTCCCTCAAGTCTGCGCAAGCACTACCTCCCTGGCTCTCTGGCTCCACTTTGCCCTCTAATAGATGCTGAGCCAGGGTAAGGAAATGGAGAGAACCCTTGTCCGGGAAGTAGGGGAAGGAGAATCCCAGCAACCCTTCCCCAGTCCCCAGACCCACCAGGCAATTGCTAGGTTCCCACCCTTCTTCCATGGAGCCTTCCCAGATCTCTGCTTCCTCTTTATCGGGCACACCATCTCCCGCAGGCGCACAAATGAATGTCTGTGCAATGTGTTAGTGTCATCTAACTCTTCTGTATTGTGCCCGATCACACACACTGGGCGGGGCATAGCCTCCCCTCCTTTCCTGTCTACCAGAGAGACACAGTCCTTTTCCTCCCAAAGCCTCAGGCTGCCAAGGGAGGCAGAGCCCAGTCCCAGATAGTCCTGTTCACAAGAAGAGGCAGACCACATGCAGGGGAAAAATTCTGCAGCTTGAGAAAGGGGGGTCATGAGCTGCGGGCAAAGCTGGCCTCCTCACAGCCTGGGCTTTGTACTCCTGCCCCACGTAGCAGAAGTGTCCAGCATCACCATCTTGACCTCAGCAAAGAGCCTCAGAGGGTTGGATCAGTTCAAACCTTGAAGTCCTTCATCACTACGTCCAGATTCGGTGGGTGGGAGGCAGGGACTTGCGTGGGGGTGGTGGCAGTGGGAGCTGGTCAGCCAGCACACAGAGGCGGCCGCAGGTCAGAAGCACATCCACCAGAAGCAGCTTGAAGAGAAGCAGTCGCAGAGCGCTCAGCCGCAGTACCTGACCCGGTGTCCCTGTGGAAGGAATGGTGGGAGGAGTCCAGCAGCCCAGACCTCCCAAAGGGCTGTTGGCCAGTCTCCATCTGTCTCCTCCTCCAGGGAGATTCCTTCCTAGTGTCTAACCTTAGTGTCTACTGGTAATGACACGTGCCTCCTACTTTCCCCTCGCTGGGTTTCATTTGTCGGGAGGCCGGCATTCAGGAAAGAATAAATGGCTCAGAACATCTGGGCAGGAAACAGACCTTGGGATTACTAGCCCAGCGCTCTTCTCGCCACCTCAGATAGCTAAACAATGCATAGGCTCTCATACTGGGGCCGCCTGCCACCCCCTACCCAAGAAGCCATCGGGCTCCACATGTTGACTCTGTGCAGCTCCACTGGGGTCCAGGAATTAGGATGGGATCTGAAAACCCCACCTTATCCCAGGGACGTCTGAAGTCCAGACTAGCCCTTGAAAAAGCAGTCCCTTAAATGGAAACTTCTCAATCTCAAAACTGCGACTTCATGGGACACATGGTCAAATTAGAGCAGACTGCTGCCCGCCAGGTACCAGTCAATACTCAAACTTCAAACCGTTGTTTCCAAGCACCACACCCCCCACTGACAACTCACCCCTGAGGGGCTCCTGAAAGCAGGTCCTGCCTGTGGAAGCTTCCGCTGTGAGCCAAGAAAAAGGAAGTGAGTACAATGGGGTGGAGGGCACCTCACAGTCCCAGACCTAAGCCTGGCCCCAGCCAGCTGGCAGGGCAGAGGGACATATCTGGACTCCTTGACAAGTCCTTTCCTCCCTGCCTGAGAGTTTTGTCCCCAAGAGTCCCCTCAATCCCTTCTCCCAGGGAGCCCATTCTCTTCCAGCTTTTGCTGGAAGGCAGGGCATTTTTTCAGAAAGCAACCGAGGTGACCCAAAAGCCTAGATTGACAGTGTTCGCAATACAAGCACAGGACCCCAGTTCAATCCCCGAGCTAAAAAACAGAGTAACCCAGTGCTGAGGAGATGGGGACGAGCAGACCCTTGGGGCTCACTAGCTAGCCAGCAAGGTCTGCCAGGCTTAGGAGATGGGTTAGTTGGCAAAGTGCTTTCTTGAGTTGGAACTCAGCACCCTCATTAAAAAGCTGGGAGTGCCAGGCGGTGGTGGTGCACACCTTTAAACCCAGCACTCAGGAGGCAGAGGGAGGTGGATCCCTGTGAGTTCAAGGCCAGCCTGGTATATAAAGTGAGTTCCAGGGCAGCTAGGGCTACACAAAGAAGTCCTGTCTCAAAAAGCAAAACAAAAGAAATCCAAAAAGCAACAACAAACAAACAAAGCAACAGTAGTGCATATTGCTTTTCTGGAAGACCAGAGTTGTCATGAGGCTGCTGATTGCCTATAACTCCAGCTACAGAGGAATCCAGTGACTGTCAAGCACTCAGATGCACGCACGCACGCACTTCAACATAATAATCTTTTATTTATTTATTATGTATACAATATTCTGTCTGTGTGTATGTCTGCAGGCCAGAAGAGTGCACCAGACCTCATTACAAATGGTTGTGAGCCACCATGTGGTTGCTGGGAATTGAACTCAGGACCTTTGGAAAAGCAGTCAGTGCTCTTAACCACTGAGCCATCTCTCCAGCCCCTCATAATAATCTTTAAAAAATTTAAAATGAAGCACTTAGGACAGTGCTTGGCGTACAATAGACTTGGTAAGTGATAATGGTTTGTTTGTTTGTTTGTTTTCATGACAGGGTTTCTCTGTGTAGCCCTGCCTGTCCTAGAATTCACTCTGTAGACCAGGCTGGCCTCAAACTCACAGAGATCTGCCTGACTCTGCCTCCCAAATGCTGGAATTAAACGCATGCACCACCACTGCCTGGTGATGGGGTTTATTCTTTAATTATTGTTTGGTCTTTCAGGGTTTGTTTATGTGTATATGAACTGTTTATATAGATTATTATATAAAACATATATATATATGTACCTATGAATAAGCCATCAAAAGTTATTAATATCTCTTAGCAATCACACATCTGAGCCTGGATTTGCTTTTGTTTTGTTTTTTTAAAAGTTTCATGGGGCCCAACCAGGCTTTAAACTCACTTGTAGTCAGGAATAGCCTTGATCTTCCTGTCTCTGTTTCTCAAATTCTGGGATTATAGGTTTAAGAGAAAACCTGAACCATATATCCCAGCTGTCAGCCCCAGGAATCATGGCCTCAAAACCACTCACCAGGAGCCGGGCCTACCCTTCCATGTCCTTCATGCCTGAAATCCGCCTTCCCTCCCGCACTCTGTCCTGGCTCCAGGTCATGGACAGGGACAGGGTCCCAGGCTGCATTCCTACCTGACAGCTGGAGTGGTAGCGTGCTCCGGCTCTGGCCCCCCGCCCCAGGCCTGGCATGGCAGACCAAGGGCTCCCAGGCTTCCAGCTCTTCAGAGGGCAAGGAAAGCTGGGCTAGGCTGGTCCAGGTGCCATCCGGTGCTGGGGAGGGCCCATAGGTGAAGGCGTCTAGTGCCGTGCCGTTGCCAGCTGAGAACCAGATGGGGCTGTCAAGGCCAGGGGGTGCCGCATCGAGGACCAAGCAGACCACCAGAATCTGCTGCCTCCCATCCACCAGCAGTGTGATGGGTGGAGCCAGGGATGGAAAGGGGATGCCAGCTAGGCCTGCAAGAGAGAGGAATGTCTGTGCTGGCTCCATTGGCTTGTGCCTCCAGACTGGAACTTTCTTGAATGTTGGAGTTCTGGGTTTCTGTCATCCCATGCTGTCTCGCACCATTGCCATTCACCGTCATATTCTTCAATTGACCCTCTGACCTTGAATTTACTAATTTCATTTCCCTTCTATTAAACTCTTCTTTCCTTTCTTTCCTTTCTTTTTGGTATCTACGTGTGTGTGTGAATGTGTCCATGCAGCATATATGTGGTATGTGTGTTTGTATCTGTGCAAGTGTGTAGATATGAAGGCCTATTCATGCATGGAAGCCAGAGGAGGACATTAACTGACCTGTTCTATCACATGTCACCTTAGGATAGGATCTCTCACAGCCCCTGGTGCTACTCCTGCCTCCAGAGAGCCCCAGTGATGCCCCTGTCTTCGCCCTCCCCAGTACTGGGATGACAGGCACAGTCTCTACATGGGTGCTGAGAAGATTCTTTCAGATCCTTGTGTTTCTGCACAAGCATCCTGACTCACAGTTGTCTGCACAGCCTCGAGCCAAGCATCCATCCATCCATCTACCCATCCTCTACCATTCTGCCCACTGTCTACCCATCCATCCTTTCTGAGCCCTTTCCTATGCCAGGTGCTGTGTATATAACATTGAGAAAATCATTGCCAGCGCTTTCGAGGAACTCCGTCCTGTAGGAAGGGCAGTAGTTTCATAAACAACTGCTTATAATCCCAAGCTGTGCTGCCTAAAGAGAGTTGTGCCTCTGGGGAGGAAGGAGCCAGAGAGAGAGCAGAGGAAGCTTCAGTATACTTGGAACTTCCCTTCCGGGACAACTATTTAAGTCTGCTGTGGTTGCCCACTTCTGAAATTTCAGAACTTGGGAGGCTGAGGCAGGAGTGTGGGTGAGTGAGCTGTATATGAGACCGATATCTAAACTAAATTGTTTAAAGCAGGGAGGGGGGGAGCGGCTGACAAGATGGCTCACCGAGTAAAGACTTGTTGCCAGTTGCCAAAGCTGAGTTCAATCCTAGGAGCTCTCATGGTAGAAGAGAAAAAAAGTAACCCCTGAAAGCTGTCCTCCGACTGCCACACCCACGCCGCACACATGCATGCACATGTGACATCTAAAACTTAATGTAACCAAAATAAAAGGAGGAAGAGATGAAACTCAGAGGTAGGGTGCTTGTCTTTACCTCATGAAGCCCTGAGTTTGGTCCCAGCACTGTGGTGGGATGGAAGAATGAACTATCAATCAACAAACAAGAATGAACTAGCAATAATATAAGTTACTAAATGATTAACATTTTACTGGATTTGAATCAGATCTTTTTTTTTTTTTCTTCCTGAGACAAGGTTTCTCTGTAGCTTTGGTGCCTGCCTCCCGTGTGCTGGGATGAAAGGGGCACTACCCGGTTAAATCAAATCTCTTATACTTCATTTTGGTTTGATTTTGAGGCATCCAACTCTGGATCCTCTTGCCTCCACCTCCAGAGGACTGGGGTTGCAGGCATCCACACACTCCATGCCATAGCACACAGCATGCCAGTTAATGAGTCGAGGGGGCTTAAACTCTGCCAATAGAGTTACACTCCCCAGCATGTAGTCTTATTCTGTTTCGGTTTTTATTTTTGAGATTTTATTTTTTTTTATTATTTATGAGGGTTTTGACTGCAAGTATGTCTGTACACTGCATGCATGCTGTGCTTTCCCAGGTCAGAAGAAGGCATCAGTTACCTTGCGATCACAGGGGTATGATCGTGGATGGTTGTGAGCCACCACGTGGGTGCTGGGAATTGAACCCAGGTCCTCTGGAAGAGCAGCCAGTGCTCTTCACTGTCAGTCATTTCTCCAGTCCCCCCTTTTCTTCTTGATTTTGTTTTTTTTTTTTTGAGACAAGGTTTCTCTGTGTAGCCCTGGCTGTCCTGGAACTCACTCTGTAGACCAGGCTGGCCTTGATCTGCCTACTCTGCTCCCGAGTGCTGGGATTAAAGGACTGTACCACCCCTGCTGCGCCCTTCTTTCTCTTTCTAAAAAACATTTCGTGTGTGTGTGTGTGTGTGTGTGTGTGTGTGTGAGAGAGAGAGAGAGAGAGAGAGATAGAGAGAGAGAGAGAGAGAGAGATGGGGGGCAAGTATCTGTAGAGACCAGACTCCTACAACTTGAAGTGTCAGTTCTGTGCTCTACTTCCACAGTGTGAGCCCCAGGGTCCACGCGCAGGTTGTCGGGCTGGCAATGGGGGCCTCTGCACACTGAGCCCCCTACTCTCACCTTATCACTGTCAGTAAAGATGACCCATTCAGTATATAACTGAAGGTTATTTTTAAATAGGATTTTTAAAAATATAAATAGAATTTCAAATGTTAATAACTGAAAATAAATTCACATTATGAACTCTGTGTGGCCGAGATAAAGAAATGTCCCAGGGTGCCAGAGAACCTCATGGAAGTGAGGAGGCCAAAGAACTGGTCTAGGGACACCAAGCAGATGTCCAGTCAGCTTTGGACTTGAGCCTCAATCACCACAAATCTCATAGTCTTCTTTGCCTTAGAAAGTCTCGGAGATCAAGCCTAGGACAAGGCTTCAGACAGAGCTGAGATTAGCCCCGTCTCAACCCAATAACTGACTGAGAGTCAAATGCCCTGACAATATAATGGCCCAACTGAATCTTTGTGAAGAATACAGATAACATAATGCTTTGCTAAGAAGTTTTGAAAATATTATTTATATTAATATTTCTAAAGCTTTGCAAACAAAGGGACAAAAGGAAGCCAGGAGTGAACCCAAGGACCCCTCAGGAGCCCCTCAGCCCCCAGAGCTGACCCAGCTTATACCTCCACTATGAATTCCCCTCAGATCTTTCATTCTTACCCCAAGTGTTTCCTTCCCAGAGCTCAGGCCTTCCGCTACACCTTCTCTCAAGCAAGGGAGTCCCCATGACACACTAGAAGTGAATTTAGATCAAGTAGACCCCCTGACTCAAAAGTTCAAGGTCTTCCCCCACCATATACGTCCATGCTTCAGAAGGACTGGAATTCTCTGGCCTTGCTCCTTGGCTAACTGGAGCTAAACGCTTGACAAGTCACGGACACCTTGGGGCCTCATGTGGGTTGAAAGTGAACTTGAGACACCCTTGTCCTTGTTGGAAGAGGGTGCTGTGAGGCCAGGAAGGACAGCCCAGGAGCATCCGTCACCCTATATCACACAACACGGCCCTGGCTCCGTGAATCTCCAACTTCCGTGGGTTCCCATCCAGTTTGCTCTTTTTCTCTTTTATGATTCAGTTCTGGGACTGAGCTTAGCCCTCATGCAGGGCAGCAAGGCAAATGCTCTTCCACTGAACGATAACCACAGTCCTCTTTTTACCCTTGAACTTGGGTTCTCCTGTCTCAGCCTTCTGACTAGCTGGGACTACAGGCCTACATCACCAGGCTGGGGATGCTTCCAAGAAGGACAACAGGCCCTGCTGACACCCCATCTGGAGGACAAGAGACCATGGATCCCATCATCGTTGTAGAGGCTCAACTGGTCCCAGGGGATGGGCTCAGTGGCAGCCAAAGAGGTAGGCAAGAAGGACTTACCTGTAGGCAGGGTCTGACCCCTGAGAGCCAGGAAAAGCAGCAACCACGTCCTAGCCATGACCCACTCAAGAAGAGGCCTGAGCCAGCTGCAGCCCTGAGGTGTGGGCTGGGGAAGGAGGCTCCCTCGACTCCCTCCCACAGGGCCAGCTGTACCTCAGCTGCTCTGCCACGTGTTTCCCTACCCACTAGTTGCCAGGCCTCTCTGGGGAGGAGGGGTGTCAGGGAACACAGGTGCCACTCCCATCCCAGGAACTGGATGCCCACCCAAGGGGGACGGCGGGATCTCCACGTAGAACCGCTCCATGTCATCCTCCAGCTGCTTCACTTCGCAGAGGAGGCAACTGAGCCTCAGATTGAGTGCTCTGCTCAAGGGCACAGCTGGCAAAGCCAAGGTTGAACTTTTTATTATTATTGTTTTTTACTTTATGTGTGTGGGTGTTTTGCCTGTGTATAGGTCAGTGTGCCATGTATGTGCCTGAACCCAAGAGAGACAGAGGCAGGTGGATAGATCTCTGTGAGTGCAAAGTGAGCTCCAGGACAGCCAGGGCTGCATGGAGAACTCCTGAATCAAACATGAACACACACACACACACACACACACACACACACACACACACACACTGTTTTTAATTGTGCGTATGTGTCCGTCTAAGGCATTGGATCCCTGGACCTGAGCTACAGAGGCTGTGAGTCACCTGACGTGGTCCTCTGTGAGAACAATAGGGCTCTGAATTGCTGAATCATCTCCCCAGTCCCCATTTTGTTCTTTTGAGGCAGCGTCTCATGTAATCCAGACAGCCTCGAGTTTGCTATGAGGCCAAGGAGGGTTCTCCTGTCTCCATCTCCCAAGTGCTGTGTTACTTCCTTAATGTATTTATTTATTTTTTGGCAACTTCATTCATGAGTCCACCCTGAATTCTCCCTTCCCACTCCCCTGCACGTCCCTGAAAGCTGTCCTCCTATAACATTTATGACTTCATTCTCCCTTTTTTGTAGCCCAGAATCCAGGTAGCAGTACTTGGGGAGGGAACGTTGACTAGTCTTGTCGGAGACGCACGTGTGCAGTAAGCGTGGCTAGAGCGAGTCCGTGAGCTCAAGGCCCTCTTACATCTAGAAGCTCTCCTCCCCAGCTCTCCTCCCCAGGCCCCGGCCCTCGTTCCCATGTCCTCTCATCCCCATGCTCTGCCTCTCATGTTCTTTTTCTTCCATGATGTTCCGTGAACCTGGTGGCGAGGTAGGGGGTGGGCGGCAGGTTGGGGGTCATGGGAGTGATGTAGATGTCCATTTGGACCTGAGCACTCAACAGCCACTTATCGGGACCTGTTCTGAGTCTCTGGCCAAGGTTGAGGGCAGCACTGTATTGTTTCTGTTCAGCCTTGGCTGGCCTGGAGTGCCTTTTTTCTATTTTAGATTTATTTATTAATTATGTATTATTGCATGTGTCCCTGCAGGCCAGAAGAGGGCACCAGATCTTATTACAGATAGTTGTGAGCCACCATGTGGTTGCTGGGAATTGAACTCAGAACCTCTGGAAAAAACAGTCAGTGCTCTTAACCTCGGAGCCATCTCTCCAGCTCGCTTTTTTTTTTTTAGAGACAGGATTTCTCTGTAGCTTTGGAGCCTGTCCTGGAACTCACAGCAATCTGCCTGCCTCTGCCTCCTGAGTTCTGGGATTAAAGGCATGTGCCACCACCGCCCAGTTGGCTTGGAGTTCTGTAGACCAGACTAGCCTCAGACTCACAGAGATCTACCTGCCTCTGCCTGACGAGTGCTGGGTTTAAATCCCTGCACCTCATGCCTGGCTGTAGTTACTTTTTGACATGGAGACTTGCTGTGTTGCCCTGCACCCCATGGCCTCAAATAGTCTGAGCCGGAGGCTGGGAAAGTGCTAGCTTGTCATTCCTGAAGTCCTGGGTTCCACCCCCAGCCTGCACACGCCAGGTAAGGTGGTGTGCAGGGAATCACAGCTCTGAAGCAGAGGCAGAAGCATCAGGAGTTCAAGGTCATCCTCGTTTACAAAGAGAATTTGAGACCAGCCTGAGATCTGTGAGACCCTGTCTGCAAAAAACCAGCAAACAAAAACAAATTCTGGTCCCCCAGAGGAGTAGCAAGTGCTCTTAGCCACCAAGCCATCTCTCTAGCCTTTCTTTTTCTCTTTTATGTTTTTGAGATAGGATCTCAAGGTATTGCCCAGGTGGACCCAACTTCCCATCCTCTTGCTTTAAATCGCCCAAGTGCTGGGGTTACAGCCCCATGCAACCATGACCAGCCGATTTCCTGGGTCTAGATAGCCACGCTAAAGGGGTGGACGTGGGGGTATCTATTACAGTGTGGTGGGGTATTCTCGAGAGAAGACTGCTCAGACATGGGTTTGAGCCAATAGACGGTCTTTATTTTTGGTTGTAAACCTAGCCTTTAACACCTGCGCCATCTCTCCAGCCCTAGGGAAATTCCCAGGAATCCACAAGGATGACCCCAGTTAAGACTCCTAGCAATAGTGGAGAGGGTGTCTGAACTGGCCTTCCCCTGTAAGCAGATTGATGACTACCTTAGTTGTCAACATAGAGCCTTCCTCCAGTAATTGATGGAAGCAGATGCAGAGATCCACGGCTCAGCACTGGGCCCGAGCTCCTGGGGTCTGGTAGAGGAGAAGGAAGAGCAATACGAGCAAGGGGGCCTTCAATCCCAGCACTCAGGGAGGCAGAGGCAGGCAGATCTCTGTAAGTTCAAGGTCAACCTGGTCTAAAAAGTGAGTTCCAGGACAGCTAGGACTGTTACATTAGAGAAACCCTGTCTTTAAAAACCAAAAATAAATAAATAAATGAAAGCTCATGAAGGGGAAACCTACAGAGACAGCTGACAGGAGCCAGTGGGAGCTCAAGGACTCTGGACCCACCGCTGGGGAGCCTGCATGGGACCAAACTGGGCCCTCTGCATGTGGGTGACAGTTGTGTGACTTGTTCTGTTAGTGGGGCCCCTGGCAGTGGGACCAGGATCTATACCTGGTGCATGAGCTGGCTTGTTAGAACCCATTCCCTATAGTGGGATGCCTTCCTCAGCCTTGATGCAGGGAGGAGGAGCTTGGTCCTGCTTCAACTAGATAAGTCAGGCTTTGTTGACTCCTCCTGGGAGGCCTTACCCTTCCTGAGGAATGGCTGGGGGGTGAGGAGGGAGGTATGGGGATAAAAGGAGGAGGGGAAGGAGGGGGAACTATGGTTGGTATGTAAGATGAGGAAAAAAATTTGAAAAGAAAAAAAGTCTTTATTAGCTGACCAGCACCTATACCGGGTGTTCGGGAGCCCGGTGGAACGGTGAGCCTTTCTCAGGGAGAACTTTTCAGCACAAAACCCGTGTCCTGGGCTGACACACTTCAGGTGATGGGACTGCAGAAGTCGAGAAGCAAAGTCAATACATTCTGAGGCTTTTTCAGAACTATGGACTTGGACGGATTAGGTCTTTGTTTTCATTTGGCAGGTGCTATCTACGTGCTGAGTTTTACTATGGCACGGAGTCAGTCTGGGGACCTAAGGTCTGGACCCTGTTACAACAGTTTTGTTGCATACACCTATTGTTTGGTAACATGGAGAATAAAGGCCTTGATTATTTAGAAAGGGGGTGGTGATGCACGCCTTTAAATTCCGGCAGAGACAGGTGGATCTCTCTGAGTTGGAGACCAGCCTGGTCTACAAAGTGAGTTCTAGGACAGCCAGGGCTACACAGAGAAACCCTCTATCCATTATAAAAGAAAAAGAAAAAAAGGCAAAGGAAAGCAAAGAAGGATCTCATGTAGCCCAGGCCAGCCTTGTACTCTGATTCATGAGCCACCACCTCCAGAGTACTGATGCCTTCCCTCTTTTTCCAAACCTATAGTTTTTTTGTTGTTTTTTAGGGACCAGTAAATGGATTTTAAGCCTGGGAAGCCCTCCCCTGCTAGAGAGTGTATATCTTCTCAATTCTGCTCTCTACTGGAGCTGAGCACAGGTGAGTTTGTGCTACCCCAGCAGGTCAGAGGGCTCCAGGCCAGCCATGACTGTCCAGCCTCAAAGAATGAAAGGAAAACAATGGTCTTTATTGGAGAGGGCTTAGCGCATCTCACCCACTCCTTCTCTCTCAGGTGGGAGATCATTTTGAGGTGTGTTAAGTACACAGGTTTTTCAAAGAACTAATTAATTATCCAAAATTACCCAAAATACTTGCTGAATAGCCCTTCCTGACCCTGGAAGGCTCTCATTACAGTGTGTCTCTTCTGTGCGTGGCTTTATTTCTCTCTCTATTCTTGTGCCAGCCTCACCCCACCTGCGCCATTGTGCCTCAAGGGCAGTTTTAATGGCCACTTGCCTGCCCTCTCCTGGCTCTGCGCAGGGACCCAAGGGCAGCCTTGGGTGCTGTGGGTTCCACGTGTTCCCAGGCCCTGTTGTGCCCAGGTGCAGCTGCGGTGGTTTCCCGCCTGGGAGTGGGAGGAGGGGAGGCAGGTGTCCTTAACGACTCTGTCTCTGCGTTCTCCAGACTGGGGGAAGTGCTGGCCCAGGCTCTGTGACCACAGTGCAGATGGGAGAGGGCCCTGGGGACACCTTTAGGGGACTGAAGCGGGGGAGGGGGTCATTCTCAGCCCTAGCAGCTGTTGGCTTGGCGACCCCACACCCAGCCCAGCTCCTGCCTTCCTCTTGGACCTGCTTTCCCTGCTTATCCTCACATCTTTCCTCTCTCTTGAAGCCCCAGAAACAATCCCTGCCCCCACAATCTTGCTGTTCTCAAGAACTTTACCCAGGGCAAATAAGGATGCCCAGACACACTGGCATGAACCTATCACTTGCAGGTTGGCTCGGAGACCCAGGCAGCTCACAAACCCTGCCTAGGGCCTTAACTGCCTGTTTCCAGTTGAGTGTCCCCAGGCTGAGGAAAACCAAGTTACATCGCTGAGGATATTTATTCTAGCAAGCCGCCAAGGGCCTTGGGTGTGCTAGCAAACCCTCTACCTGTCTTTGGCTTCCGCATGACCAGATGACAATAACGTTGTCCAGACTGGGAGTCCAGTGCTACTGACCTGTCCAGCAACTCCGATCGTCAGAGCAAGGCAAGGATGCTGGCAGCCCTCCCCTTGCCTCTTCTCCTTCACTTCCTTCTCTCTTTTGGGGGATGTGATTGTATATGTACACATATGAC